TCTGTAGGTGTGACCTGCTTTGTGGGAGTGGCTTGCCAGAAATGTGACTGGGGGGGGGTGGCCAACTTGTAAAATGTGGTGAAATTCACTTAACAACTTAGCAATCAAAATGTTGGCTCAGAAACTCTGGCATTTGAAGCATGCAAGTCTTAAAGCTGTCAAGTTACAAGACCCTTGCACCCCTAACCCTTTAGAAAAAAAACACCAGGGGTGTTCAAACTTGACAGCTTTAAGGCTTGTGGACTTCCACTCCCAGAATTCCTCCTCTCGTTCTTCATCTTGATGATGTGCGGACGGGCGGGGCGGAGGCAGCTGGAACTGGTTCTAAACGGCACTGTAGATGTGTGGAACCTCTTCTATAGAAGAGGTTAGAACTGGAAGGAACCCACCCCTGGGGATAGGTATGGAGAAAGAGAGGGCTGCCTCCATTAGTCATGTTTACTGTTAACCAAACACCACAAAGACTTCTTTTATTTACCAGCTGCACTCATTCTTAGGAATCAGTTTCAAGCGGTGATGCAGCCACGTCATTTAGATCAAAACTTTACAGAAATATATGTCCTCAGTACAATGCTTTAAATAACAGATGGTAGAGAACAACAATGGAAGAAGGCAGTATATGTATATTTTTGACCATATGAACTAATATCTGAATTCAATGGATTTCTCTTTATTAGCACATGCATTGTTAGCAGAGACATTTCCCACCTATTACCTCTTGTTACTATTCTGGTCACTTTTGACTGGAATAGTGATAAGATTTAAGTGCCAAGGTTTTATCCTACTTGCACCACTTTTCAGTAGCAAAATGAAAGACTTCAGTTCGCAATGTTCTCTGGGTGTCATGTAATTTGTTGATGCCTACAGGGAAGTCTCTGGAGGGCAAAACATGGCTGAAAATCAAGGACAAAAATCAGCTGGCCAGCGCGTGCATGCATGATGGAGCTGACAGGGCAATGCCTCGCATGCCCTCAGAAATGGCTCCGCGTGCCACCTGTGGCACGTGTGCCATAGGTTTGCCATCACGGCACTATTGATTCTTGATTATTGCTTGGACAGGTTTCTGCAGTTTTATTGGCAAGATTTTTCAGATGTGGTTTGCCAATGTTTCTTTTCCAAGGCTGAGAGAGAGTGGCTGGCCCAAGGTCATCCAACGGTCTTCATCCCTAACATAGGATTAGTATTCAGGGTCTTCTGATTTCTAGTCTAATGCCTTAATCACTACACAAACCTGGTTCTGAAAAGTGTTAGCAAGGGTGAATCTGGTGTGGAAAGTAGAAGGAAAGCCTTTCTATTCTACTTCACTTCTGGCTGCTGGCCAGGAATTTTATTAACTGCCTGGAATATACTAATAGAAAGGCATGATAGGAATTTAGAAATAATTTGCTTGGCTCACCAAAGGTAGAGCAGAGCAACAAATATGGTTAGGGGACTGGAGGCTAAAACATACAAAGAACGGTTGCTAGAATTAGGTAAGTCTAGTTTAATGAAAAGAAGGATTAGGGGTGACATGATAGCAGTGTTCCAATATCTCAGGGGCTGCCACAGAGAGGAGAGAGTNGACCGATGCGGTATGGAATTCTTATTTGTTTATTATTATTATTATTATTATTATTATTATTATTATTATTATTATTATTATTATTATTATTATTATTATTATTAACCATTTTAATGTTCACTGGTTTTTAATGTTTGTAAGCTTTCCACAGTTGTCTCTAGATGAGATGGGCAGCACACAAACCAAATAAATAAATACCTTTTAAATCAGAGCAAATTAATTAATTCATTTCTTAAATTTATTTTATTCTTGAAAAATTTTGTGGGTGGAGCTTAGAATGAGTGCAAATATACAGCTAAAAATGTACACAATGATTAAATATGATTAAACAATGGTGTTTACCAATCAACAACTTTCCTACATTTTATACAAGAATAGAAAATACTACTACTGAAATGCTACTTTCTTTTATCTGACCCGTTAACAAAGACCAAAAGAAGTATTTTTAAAATCTGCTTTAAGAACTTACAAATCAATAACTGTGTAATATGTTTTTTACTTTGCTTTGCTTTCAGTATCTGTAAAATTGGGATTGGTTTGGCATGTTAACAATTTTCTGAGGAAATTCTATGTGGTTACATTTCCAAACTCATCTAAAAGTAGAAAACATTGTTATTTTATGAGGTTCATTGCTTTGCAACTAAATAAAATCTCACTTCAAGGGAATGAATTCAGTTACAAATACACAAAAGTGGCAATTGTTTATTGGGAAATCAATTTTTGTTACAGAGAATTTATTTTTCAAGCTTCAATAGCAACAAAAATAGAGTTTTCTGATGTATGATAACTGGCTTATGTTTAATTTGTTGACATTACTGCATACAACTATTCAGAATTCAGAATCTTTCATAAACCAAAAGCTCTTTTCTAGATTAGTGACAAGGAAATATATATTGTGTTATAAAGTTTGTTGTAATCTGACTGGTACGTATCAGTTTTACACTTTTTGTTAATTTATCAATATCAATAACTAATCAGCATCCAGCTGCATTTGTTCTACATTAGAAGGAACCAGAAGTTACCTGAATTCTGGTTTCTGGAAGATTAATTTTGGCTGCCAGCTGGTTGCGGATGTTGATATCTGGATAGTGTGTAGCTTGGAAGATTCTCTCCAATTCCTTGAGCTGCTCTGCTGTGAATGTGGTCCTAATTCTACGCTTCATTTTCTTGTCATCTGTGCAAAAAAACACCACAGATTTTAAAAGGAAAAAAATCCCTTAATACAGAGAGGAAATCTAAAGGATGCAGAAGAACTGGGTATATTTCAAGTATTTTTTGATAGATTTACCATAGCTGCCTCCCATTCTGTTTCAGAAAGCCTGCACAAATCCTGATAATTTAATTTTGTAGGTGAAACTGAGAGATAAATCCAGGCCTAAACAATGCTACCATCAGGCCTGACCCATTGTATTATGATGAATGCAAAGAGGTTTCTATGCATGATCAATTGTTCATCAGAAACAAGTTGTTATTCCTCTCTATTTTGGGTTGGTCAGACAGCAACCAGAATATTGCTTCCAGATCTGGACGCAATATTTAATAAGGACATTGGCAGACTACAAACTGATCATAGTAGAGTAACCAAGTGACCTAGATAAGAAAAAAAATTAGGAGAAGTGATTTGAGGCATTATTAATGATTAATCTAGAGAAGACTGGTAAGGCCTGATAGCGATCTTCAAGTGCATGAAGGCTAACATGTAAAACATCTGCAGAGCTATTTAAAGCTGTTATTTAAAGAAAGTAGAGTTTGCATTCCAGGGAAGTGGGGCAATTTCAAGATGGCCAGACTCCTTGACTGGTCTGGGCCGCTTACAAATAAAAAGAAAGACAACTAGAATGGTGGTAAAAGCTATCCAACAATAGGACCAACTCCTTTAGTGCATTCCCCGTTGGAATTGTTGATGGCTCACTCTAGCTTTCACACATAGTCCTAGAATGGGGAGAAAGTGTGAAAAATTATTGCATTCAGTCAGACACTAAACATTTATAATGGCAGTTTTACTTGGTTCCATATACTCTATGTTTTTTGGAGTATAAGATGCACTGGAGTATAAGACCAAGATTTTGAAGAGGCAAATTTAAAAAAAAGTTTTTGCACTCTGCAGGCCTCCCCAAAACAGCATAGCCTTTAGGAGGCTTGTAGAGTACTCCTGGGGGCTGCTGTGAAAGGTGAGCAAAAAATGGTCCATTTTTTTGCAAAAATGGGCCTGTTTTTGTCAAAAAAGGGGCATGTATAGCCTTTAGGAGGCATATAGAGTTCTTCTAGGGGCTGGAGGACAAAAACAAGCAAATAGCAGCCCATTATTTGCTCATTTTAGCCCTCTCCAGCCCCCAGGAGCCCTCTGGAAACCTCTTAAAGACTATGCACGGCCATTTTTGCAAAGGGGGCGGGGTTTGGGGAGGCAAAAAATGCTGTATTCAGTGTATAAAAAGCACCCAGATTTTCAGCCTCTTTTTTGAGGGAAAAAGGTGCATCTTATACTCTGAAAAATGTGGTAGATTTATTTTATACTGTTTTAGTTGTTTTAATTGTGTATATGATGTACATTGCCCAAGTCACTTAGGTATAGGTATAGAAATCAATAAATGGAAGAGATGACATAAAGCTCTGGAAGAAACCAGGGACCGTTCTGGAAGATCAATGCAGGGAAGCAGGCAGACCATGTAGCTGGTCTACAACTTGTTAGAAAAGAATGTATTTCATTTGTTTTCTAATGATGCCTAATACAAATTTAATTTTTAATCATTTTGTCAGGTACACTTTCATAAATCTTTCATAGATCTATCTTCAGTTATCTGATTATTAAGATAAAAAGTGGTATCTACAGTTATCTGGTATGCATGACTTTACAAAATAACAGGCTTCAAAACAAACAGTCTTGATATGATTCATTGTAATAATACAGAATTGAAGATAATTGGTGACAACAATCTTTTCAGCATAGGATTCAATTTATAATCACTTGGGTAGAAAGAGGTACATCTTTCTTGATCTATGCTGTCATTACGATCTTAGCAAAGAATAAAGAGTCAGATTGATTGATTGAATGAATGAATAAATACAACCCATTATTAGGAAGCTTCATTTCAAAGCCTTGAACCTTTAGTATATCAAAGTACAAGTCATTAGAAACTTCTCCCCTGACAACTTCCAAGACTGTCAGTCATGACTGTCAGTCATGCTGAGTCTTGCTAGCATTATGACAGCATTTAACAGCCCCCCCGCCCTTCTAGCCCATGTTCTGCCTTTTTACTGAGGGCTGGGATAGGATTGTCTAGGTAGATAATATAGAAGGAGGGCGATAGAGCCTGCTATGGGGAATTCCAAGGGTTCAGTTTTGTTTAATTATCTTTTATTTATTGTTTTCTGATTTTACTGTTTTATTATTGTTTGATGTATCATTTTTATATCAGTTTTTAGAGAATTAAGCAGAATTAAGCAGCTATATAAATATTTTTTAAGAAAGAAAGAAAGAAAGAAAGAAAGAAAATAATGCAGTGATTTAGAACTGAGCAAATGATTTGATTTTTTTTGATTTTTGATTTTTTGATTTTATTAATATTTATAGGCCGCCCTTTTCCCTGAGGAGACTCAGGGCGGCTTACATAAAATAAGGAAGGGAGGGTACAAGACAATAA